ACACTCCCTACTGGGGATGCACCTGCAACCAAGGTACATGCCCTTGACCAGAATCGAACCTGGGATCCTTCAGTCTGCAGGCCAACGCTCTATCCACTGAACCAAACCCGTTAGGGCAGTGATAAGGTTTTAACTAATTCTGCAATTGATACATATCTGATAAGAAAAAAATTAATAAATTCATAAAAGACCTTGATAAATATTGCTATGAAGACAGATATTGTTATGACTGTATTCATTTAATCAGCAAGTGTTTATTGAGTGCCTACTATGTGCATGGTACTATGAAAGATATTTTAGTTACACTGGTGAACAAGACAGACATGTTCCTGTCTCCATGGAGCATGGAAGCCAGACATTAAACAAGCAGTTATAATAATGTTTAGAGAATGTTATAATTCAGAAAACAGGGTGCTTTGGAGGCACCCAACAGGGAGACCTAACCTGTTCTAAAAATTAGGAATAGCTTCCAAAGAAAGAAATATGAGTGACATTTAAACGTATGCTTTGAAAATATTAAAATGTTGTTATGTTAGAGGACTAATATAAATACTTACGTAATGTTAAATGTTAACCTAAGGTATATTGGGCATTATTCTAGGTATTAGCAATAGAGAATCACCAACTGGTTTGCGCTAAGTACACACACACATACACATACATATAGAGAAAATGATATGGAATTTATATATGTATAGGAGGAGGGAGGAAAAAGTGTGTGTGTGTGTGTGTGTCTGTGTGTGTAGGTGTGTGTGCACGTGCACGCATTGCCTCTGAAATTAGCTTTTTGCATCTGAATTATAGCCTCAGCACAATGTATCTGCAATCACAGTCCTGGAAAAGCTGGTATTTTTCTTCTAAGCTTGATGTCTGCAATTTTCCTATCTGGTACTTAGGGTAGGTAAGAAGTCCAAGAGGCCGAGGGGCCAGACCCACAGAACAGAAGAACTTTCCAGGGAGAGTGCTGCAGGGAAGAAATGGTCGCGAGAAAGAGCAGGGATTCAGTTAAGGAAACAGGTGGGCGATTTTGGCAGAGAGCCCTAGAATGCAGAGAAGGGTGCTGCTGAAGAGGTGACATTCCCGAAGGCGTGATGGGAGTAAAAGCAGTAGAGAGAAGCACAGAGCAGCCAGGGGATGAGTGTGGGGGAGGCTGTGTGTGCAGAGGATAGAGATGTTACTCAGGCACAAGGACACTTAAGAATGTATGGCTGTAGGGTTGTTTGTTTTCATTACCAAATACAAGATGATTCTGTAGTGAAATAAGCTAACAGCACTCTTCTGGGAACATCTTGATGTTAAATTGCTCTAGGAAACTGCTCAAATATCTAACAGTCACATTTTCTGCTTGTCATGGAAATATCTTTCCCTTCCTCCCATCTCACAAGAACACTTGACAGTTTCAAAAGGATATACTCTTGGATGAATGAATTTAAAAAGTTATTACTTCTTGAAACCTTGGCTTTTTTTTATTAACACAATTTACATAGGTTAAATTTCAGTGAAATTGTTTATAAAAGTGAAACTTTAGGAAAAGCTTTGACACTCTTGTGAGCTAGAACCACTGTCTAATACTTTCCTATCTCTAGTTAAATTCAATTTGAAAGTGTAAAGCATCTCACGTTATCTGCAAAGAAACTCACAAGCCAATGTTCACTGGACAGTTGGTCAGTCAGTGGCTCAAACCCTTACTAAGTGACCAGGCTGCCTAAAGCATTAGAAGAACAAAGGAATGAATAAGACAGGGTAAAGTTTTGAGCACTATAAACACACTATTTAGATGCCAATAAATAATACTTTAAAAGAATTAGAAAAAGTGAATTTTTTTTGGCATGAGAATCTTTCTTCCTTTTCTACATTCCCTGAGTAGAAAATTAAAGATAACGATAATTAATATTAATAATAAATGTGGGTAAAAGCAGAGTGCCCAAGAAGAATATGCGAGAAGTATATTCAATAAAATACGTTGAATGACAGGTTTTTGGAGTACAAAAATTTGGGCAGGGGCACTATACTTAAGGCGATTTAACATGTCACCATTTCTATGTCATTTTATTATCACAGCAGAAAATTTTAAAAATTCTTTCAGGTTGCACTAGCTAAAAATATCTGAGACTAATGTACAAAAATGATAAAAACGAAACTTATCCATTTTTTTTTAACATAGCTATCCTTGCCCGGCTGGCATGGCTCAGTGGTTAAGTGTCGACCTATGAACCAGGTCATGTTCGATCCCTGGTCAGGGCAAGCTCAATTCCCAGTGTGGGGGCATGCAGGAGGCAGCCGATCAATGATTCTCTCTCATCATTGATGTTTCTATCTCTATCTCCCTCGCTCCCTGAAATCAATATTAAAAAAACTAAACATTGTCCTTTAAAAACAAACAAATAAAAAACCCACATAGCTATCCTTGCCCTGGCCAGTGTAGCTCGGTTGGAGCATCATCCCGTACACTGAAAGGTCATGTGTTCAATTCCCATCAGGGCACATACCCAGGTTGCAGGTTCAATCCCAGTTGGGATGCGTATGGGAGGTAACCGATAGATGTTTCTTTCTCTCCCTCTCATTTCCTCTCTTTCCAAAATCAATAAAAACATATTCTTGGGTGAGGGGTCATCTTTTATTTATTTTTTTTAAGTTTTCCCTTAAAGTTTATTTTAACCCTTTGAGTGCCAATATCCTAGGAACTATGCTAAAATTGCCAAGGCATTTTTGCTGATTTTACAGCAGTTTAGGAAAAAAATTATGAATCACAAGTAAATGAAGTTACATATTCAAAAACTTAAGGAAACCTTTACCACATGTTTTCTGCACTTAAGTGCCATCTGTCAATAAAGAGTGAACTACTAGCATCTAATAGTGACACTGCAGGAGGAGCGGGAAAGCGCTCTTGGCACTTTTGGCGAAATACAGGAGGAGCGCAATTGCACTCCCAGGCACTTTAGGGGTTAATGCACTTTCATATGCATAAGCATTTCCTGATAAGGAGGAATGCACATTCATGATATGGATGCTCCTCTAATCCCTTGGGAAGCTTTGTTTATATTTCCCAGACTTGAGCAAAGACACAGTACTACCGGTTCCAAGTAATTTCTATTAAAACTTTCTTACGTGACTTCTCTTGGCCAAAATTGAGATGCTTATGGAATTTGGATCTTATAATTAGAATGACAATGTTACCAAATTTAGATATTCAAAAAATCTATGAACAAATATATTTTCCTAAAATATAAAAAGATGTGGTTCACATTATGTCACTCCACACACTTATTAATACTTATATTTGATCGATAAAACATATTTTAAAAACAAACCAACAACCAAAAATTGTCTTTAGATCGGTATCTTTAAGGAGAGACTATCTCTCTCTGTTAAAAGAAACCCCGAATAAAACACAAGCAAATGAGCCAGTAGATACTCGAAAGCCAAAGTAAACTGCAACATCAAAAAGCCTGCCAAAGTGTTGTTTTGGAACCTCAGACAATTATTGAGGAGTGCCAGTGGTGTGCTGTTTAATTTCTTGGTTAAAGCAGGGTACTCTACAGCCTCAGCTGAGGCCAGGCTGCAGCAGAGAGAGGGCTTTTCCACAGGCAGGTATTTATGGTACCTCAGGATCACCAGTCTATTCAATCGCAGCTTCTCCTTTTGGGATGTACTGTTCAGTAAAAAGACACTTGGGCACTTTTTAATTCCGTCTGATTTAAAGAGGTAGTATATAAGGTCATAAGTTTATAGACTTTGCATCTTGGTTATTACAAAATTAATGACCTGAGACTATCAAGCTTCTGATGTGCTGTGGCCTGCCTCACCTCCTGTCCTCTACCTGAGCCAGGACAAGAAACCAGGTATTGGGAAAGTTTTAAATCAGACCCGATTTTCTGCTGCTATCCCAACTACCCCAAGCTAAGGACTTCCATCTCCAGCACCATTTACAAGGAAAATTCACTGCGAAGAGAAAAAAAAGCCACACCACACAAACTACTTAAGAATCTATAAGTCATTTCCTTGTTTAAAATTGCATTAAAACACACACTCAAGTTAGGAAAGTTTTTTTGTTGTCATAAAACACAAGTTCAATATTTAGATTAATTCTAGAGTTGGATATTTTTTGGCTGACTTTTGATCCCTGGATACATTCAGCTATTTAAATGGTAGAAAATAGGGGATTAAGTGATAAATATTTACGTATAAGATGATCTGTTAATTAAGTTAAATTACTTCGTTTTCCCTCCACCATTAGTTGAAATGGGCCATTTTATCAAGTGTCTGGCCTGTGAAAATGATTTAGAACTTAAACATAAAACAGAAGAATGCTAATCCTTAATACAGAACATAAATTACTCAGCAGAGAGGTTACACATCTGACACATTTATGTATATTTTCCTTCATCTTCTAAAATGGCAAGTCCAATGATAGTTGTCCATTTTACTAAGGTCATTCCAGTCGCAATTTTCGGAGACAACAGAACTGTTTACAGAAAATACCTCCCCCTCTTCCTCTTCATTGTTCTGCTCTTCTATGCAGCTTCCTTGTCATAGGAGATACAGTACATACATATTTACATTTTACAATAGTGGATGTTGTATCTGAAATGTTAATTATCTAAAACGGAATTAAATGCCAATTCTAACCAAAAATGTCCTTATATTTGTTGCATTGCATTTGCAAGTGTTAGGAAGGAGCCCTGGTTGACAGAGTTAAGTTCCTTGGACAAGAAAGGTGTTTTATTTTGTTTTGTTTTTTCAATTTCACACAGTTAATTAAGTAACCATATTAATTGCAAATCCGTTTTAATTTTTTTTAAATAAAATAAATTGAAGTTCCCCTACAAACCAAATTAATGTAATATTTCTTTAGTAGTTAATATTTTCTAAGTAGCCATAGCATTTTATATAGAGAGTGAGCCCAGGTCTTTTGAAGGGAACTGGGATTCGGAAATGCAAATGGGAAGAAAGGATGAGGGGAGTATAAATTAGAATCTGGTATGCTATGTACTACTTACCTTCAAAAGTCAAATAAAACTTTCCTCTGTCAAACCAAACGAGGGAAGGCTGTTCATTCTCTGTATGGCCAGGAGTTGAAGCGGGATGGGAAAGGTTAAGGAGAGGGAGAGAGAAGGACACAGTATGAGTTACAGAGCAGGTCATTAATCTCACTATGGGGGAGGGCGGAGGCACTGCATGCCATTAGCGTGCAGGGAAAAGGGAAGGCTGGCAATCTATGGGTGTTATTATTTTTTTTTCTTTTCTTTTTAGTTCAGGAATCAGAAAGCAAAGCAAAGCTATGGAGGCCTAAAGGGATGGGCATGTGTTGTCGATAGCTTGACATTCGGTGCTTGTACGCATGGAGCGGAAGTCTTCCTGGCCATGCAGGGGAATCAGCATATTTTAACTGCACTAGTTTGGGCAAACTGTCTTTCAGCAATTGCTGTATCCATTTCATCTTCAATGTCATCCCCTTCTATGTTTTAAAAAAGATAAACTTGGAGTTATGGGTCACATAAACTTAGCTTAGGTTTTAAATGACAACAGCATTGCATATCAATTTAATGCTCCTGGAAGATGTCATATATCTTCCATCCCCTTCCCTGGAATCACCTTAGGCATCCAGACACAAAACACCCTTTACCTATGTACCAAAGAGAAAACAAGATTACTAACGGTGCGCTATAATTTTTTTAAATTAAAAAGCAGTCACTGGACATGTAATTCTGAGCAGTTAAATTATTCCTTCCTTTGTAAATTCACAAAGCAATAGCATCTCACCTTTTCCAGACCTGTTCGCTGAGAAACTGTCATGCAACCTGCTGCTTTTTAAAATATGTTCACTTAACAAATTCAATGGCATGAGTTCCACAATGAACAACAAACAGACAGGGTGCATCTGAGAGGCACTGGACACTCATGAGGTGAGTAGCATGTCCATGACGTTTATAGCATTCAGATGGCATAATGGCTTGGATTTTTAACGTCTAGATATCTAGACATCACTTGGCTAGCACCATACCTGCTGGGGTTTCACAGCGCCTTTCAAATGAGGGCAGTTTGTCATAAAAAACATCATCTTCTGACACTACGGACCAAAGAAATATAAAGGGATGGAAAACAAAAACACAAATACAAATCCCAAATGAAATCAAGGTCACACATTACTGACTGAAACACAGGAATGATTTTAATGGAAAAAGAAAAAACAAAACCTAGGACACTGAGATTATGATTAGGATACAAAAAAGCGATGTGCTTGTTTCATGATGATGCTATGAGAAGAAACTATAATTTAAAAAATGACAGGTTTTAGCATGTGAATTTGGCTGAACTCAGCTCCATAGAAGAAATCATACCCCCACCTTTTTAGGGGGTTGTTAAAGGTAGTATCATCAATAATTGACTTGTGCAAGTATATTTCACTCAGACACAATTCTCAAGTGGCCTGACATATGTCCATCAACAGAACCTCGTCACAGCTCAACAGAATTACCCAGCATGCACTTCTCCCCATGGGGAAAGAGAAGCTTTTAACAAGACCATAAAAAAGCAACAGTATAAATCTGAGGTCAGTGAATGAAGCATCCCATTTCACCTTCATCAATATCCAAATTCAATTTGCCTTGTACCTGTCTTTGGTAGTTGTGGACTGTTCATTTTGAACAGCATTACTGTAATTCCATCTTTGGCTATAGTGTGCAATTACGGCCAAATGTCTGTAAATTTGTCTCAATAGCTGCTCTGGACTCCAAGTGTTCCAGATCTTTGCCTATGGTCCCCCATTTCACCAACTAAAAAATGCAGGTCAATTAGAGTATTATTTTATCTGATTAAAAAATAATACCCATAGATCTTAAGGATATTATTACAACTTCAATGGAAAATTGAGTAAAATTTGTACAATGACCAGTAAGGGAGAATCCTTCTGACAATGTAGAGAAGATAAGGAAATGAATGAGGATAGTAACACTATTCCATAAACAAGGTTTCTTGGAAAATATCCTACTAGCTTGCTTCCTAGACTTAGGGAGTAAGGCAGAGAAACTCTTTGTCAATTCCTAAGGTCCTAGGATATCAGCTGTTAATCAGTTTTTATTATACATGTGGCTTTCTTGGAGGCTAGAACAAGCTAATGCAACTCCTGTAAAGTGTCTAGGACAAATGAAACTGGCACTAAGGAGCACACTCCATAGTCACTAGAGAAAATAGGAAGCAAAACAGTCACATCGCAGGAACTGAATGTAAAAACAGTGCCTTTTCATACCCAGGAGTGGGAAATGACGGAGGATATTCCTTTCTTTTGAAGAACTGATTTCCTTTTTACAATCTTGTTAAAATGAGGAGCCTCCAATAGCCATTTGTTCTTTGAGCTGAAGTTACAAAATAATATTTCATAAAGGTTGATTAGTATGCTGATGCTTTTTTTAAATGGTGGTTGTAGACATTGAGGGCTTAGAATAAAACATCCTAAAAAAAAATCAGAGATCTCAAAAAAGGAGTCATTGGATAACCCTGTGCTTGGTTTAAATAAAGGCAACACTCAAATGAAATACTAAAGAAAACATTTCCTTAAGGACTAACCATGGAGATAGCCCCAACTTCATTTAGGATGGTGAAGCCAGTACTGGAAACAAGCTTTTCCAAAAAAAAAAAAAAATAGCAGAAGAAAAAAGAAAAAGGCTAAAATTAAAGATGGGGATT